AGCCCTGCAGTCCTGACACCCTAGCAGCCCTGCAGTCCTGACACCCTAGCAGCAGCAGCAGCATTATGCCCAATGCTGACAGGTTACTTGACCTGTCTAAGCAAACTGGTTACCAGTACCAACGAGAGGTTTTTTTTACTTTAGTAACAGCGAGATTATGTCTACCATAAAGCTACATAGATCAAGTGTCCTTGCACTGCTTTGATTTGGCAACCACCCACTGTGCTCTAAACTGCACCTGTATTTCCACCGCCAAGATAATCAAGTCCAAACAAACATTTACGGAAACAAAACACAAATTTCAAACTCACAAAATGTAAAATTTCCTAGACACGCGGTGGTCATTTTCTTAAAGCTATGAAAAACTATTCGCAAAATTGAACTCGGATAATGAGCCAATATTAAATGTAAAATAGAAGAAGAAAACACATCTCTTTGGTCCTACCCAACCTTGAACTTTCCAAGTTGGCAGGCTGTTGGTTTGCGCACTGGAGATGTGTTAACATGTAGGTCTTAGCTCGCTGAATGCCTCAGTAGCCTGTCAGTTTTGTGCCCCGTTATCGCACATACTGACCGCTATCTGGTTACATTCGTAGATAGTTGCTTCATATCTCATTTCCATGTGTTTTCTTCTTCCAAAACCTATTTGCGCACTCATTACTCCGACATACAAGGCAAGGTAGCTTTTGTCTACCTTGCCTTGTATGTCGGAGTAAGCAGTGCGCAAATAATCTTATTCTTAACTTTATCTTAAGTACTTCCTCCGTTAAGCAAAACTTCGTTGCGTTTTTAGTGTTCTTGTCATGGTATCTCTTTCGGCATTAGACATACATGTCAGTGATCTATCCCCTACATAGAGTAGCTGAGTTGTCGTCCATTGTTTTGACAGGCTTTTGAACCTCCGAAAAGTGTGGAGTGCATTGAAAAAATCGGCGAAGCAGAACCGTTTCTCGACAGGATGTCTCCAGAACACAACCCCAGGCGCGCGCGCATGACACCAAAGTGCGAAAATGAGAAACAGTTTGAACGACCGCTTGGCTCGAAGAAGTGTCCAGGAGCCGGCCAGCACTCAGGCACTGCTGTACTAGCACGGGTCGATGGTGCGCATCCGCACACAGCCAAACTCAATGCACTTGTGTTTGCAGCGCAGGGGAAATCAAAAGCGTTCGACATTCAGGTTGTCGTTCAGTCGGCGCAAAATCCTGATCTCAACGTCGTCGACTTGGCGTTCTTCCACAGCCTGTAGACAGACGTGTCACTCGTGGCGAAGGAAACCGGAAAGGAGCTTCTGCAGGTGTGGAAACGTGCTGGCACGACACACCGCTGCGAAAATGGCGAGCGTTTGGTTGGGTCTGTATGGCTCCTTCCATGGCGGTCCGGAGAGTGGCCACAACTATCAGCGCCACCGTGGAGGTCGTCAAGGTCACAGTTCGAGCGAAGAACTTGGCGATCTCCACGATCAAAATAATCGTGTCTTGGAAACTTGTAAAGGCTGCGGAACAAAAGCTGGCAGCGCTGGCGGCGACAGTCAGCGAGGATGCAGACTCGATGTCATCAGGGAGTGAGCCGTCATCAGATTCAGACGAAGAGTGAAGCTGGACTGCTTCGAAACGAGCTGTGTGACATCTGTAAATAAATATCTTTCACATGCTGCCTTGTTTTCCACTTTGCAAAGCGTGTTCGTAGCCATAGAATGATTTGGACTGAACTGTTAAAACGCAACGAAGTTTTGCTTAACGGAGGAAGTATGTATACAGGATTTGCACTCTGGCAAAATATTCGGCGGCGAAATGAAGATATGTTAGCAGCACGGTGCGTCCTGTTTAACTGCTATCACCACAATTCGCAGGAGGCATCTTTTCTGCACTCACTCAACAACAGTAAACTCCTCTAGCAGGCAGGGCGGGGAAGCGGCAAGGGGTCATTCATAACTCCGGGCATTCCCGAAGCAGTCTAGATGTTCTGTAAGCCAGGCTAGGCATTCTGGTGTCCAAGTAAACACAGATAATTCCAAAACCGGTCCGACCAACATATGCCAATAGCCCTCTGAAGACGTTTGCAAGTCAACATCAAGCCAATCATTGCCTCATGGCCAGTTTTGGTTGATTACTAACCCCATAGTATTCAACCGAGGATAGCTGCTGCTACAGTCTCCTGCCCGGTTCGCCTCAAACCTCCAGGTCCCTTGCCTAAGACAGCACTGGACAGCACTGGCAGTGTGAGTGCGCTCACGAGACCCTTAGACCCTGAACTCTTGACTGGGTGACAACTGACCATCTGGATAAGTTCATCTGTCATGGGACTAGAGCACACTGACATACCCCTGACAGGCCGATGACAAGCTCCGTCTAGCGAAGGCTGCCAGCAGAGGCTGCTACGTGGGGAACATTGGAACCAACTGCTCTTATCATAGGTGAACACGCTGTGCTAGGCGGCCATTAGGACACACACAAGGATGCGCATGTGTTGCTGGTTCCCACCCCTCTATCTACTAGACACTTTCTTCACTGCCACCGGATTGGCTTCATTTGTCATACCGAGTGCCATGGATCCTAAACAGTATTATTTTATCCAGTGATGAAAGACAACCAACAAAATGTGTGTGTGTGTGTGTGTGTGTGTGTGTGTGTGTGTGTGTGTGTGTGTGTGTGTGTGTGTGTGTGTGTGTGTGTGTGTGTGAGAGAGAGAGAGAGAGAGAGAGAGAGAGAGAGAGAGAGAGAGAGAGAGAGAGAGAGAGAGAGAGAGAGAGAGAGAGAGAGAGAGAGAGAGAGAGAGAGAGAGAGAGAGAGAGAGAGAGAGAGAGAGAGAGAGAGAGAGAGAGAGAGAGAGAGAGAGAGAGAGAGAGAGAGAGAGAGAGAGACACACACACACACACACACACACACACACACACACACACACACACACACAGAAAGAGACAGAGAAGAAGATTGGAGCAGTGGGCACACAGGAATAAGAAGGTGAAAACTTGAAGAGAGCCTAAGCACAGTGGTGCCTTCTGGTTTGTTTCGGAGTGCTCACATTCCCACCCCACTCAGAACGAAAAGCCGTTAAAGGGGAAGTATACCCTAAAATCAAATTTTCACCAGTTGTAGTCTTCGGGGTGCTGAGTCGAATGGTCTTGGTCCGAGGAAGCTGCGACGCTCCCTTCCTACTTGAATCCCAATCGAACTCGCGCACTTCCACCGAAACTGGGTGACTGCGCCCTACTAGATGGGGATTTGTATGCAAAATGTCACTAAAAGCGCCATTTCGTTCTTATAAAAGCACGGATGACCGCGATTGGCCCATATGTTGTAGTCTTTTGGACGCTGAGTCGACTGGTTTTGGTCCGAAAAGGCTGCGATGCAGCGTTCCTCCTTTATTCCCAATCGAACATGGTTGAACAAGCGGTCACGTGCTCCTGGGTGCCCAAATCACCTGGTCACCGCGCCAGCAGGCGACAACTTTCACACCAAGGTTCAACTCGAGTTCAACTCGAGTGACAGGACTGCACCCAAAAAAGGTCAAACAGGCTAGTAAGTTGTACCCTGCAGGCACGGTGACCAGGTGACTGGTGTACGCAGGAGCACGTGACCGCTTGTTCAACCATGTTCGATTGGGAATAAAGGAGGAGCGCTGCATCGCAGCCTTTTCGGACCAAAACTAGTCGACTCAGCGTCCAAAAGACTACAACATATGGGCCAATCGCGGTCATCCGTGCTTTTATAAGAACGAAATGGCGCTTTTAGTGGCATTTTGCATACAAATCCCCATCTAGTAGGGCGCAGTCACCCAGTTTCGGTGGAAGTGCGCGAGTTCGATTGGGATTCAAGTAGGAAAGGAGCGTCGCAGCTTCCTCGGACCAAGACCATTCGACTCAGCACCCCGAAGACTACAACTGGTGAAAATTTGATTTTAGGGTATACTTCCCCTTTAAGGAATAAGAAGAGATCTACAACGAGAGTATAATTGTGGTGGACAGTTACTCTATACAACGTTTCTGTTTGTTCTTCACCTGTTTTCCAATAGTAAAAAAAACCTAAAAAACTTGTATCCATATGTTTCTTTTCTTTGTAAACCTGTAGGCTGCTAAGGACAAATTCCAAGACTGTCCATTCAGGCGTTGCATTTCTGCCCTCCCCCCCCCCCCCCCCTCCCACACACAAAAACTACCAAAAGGAACCAGGTTGCTGCTAAATGGACAACGAGGTGGCATTGTGGAGGTCTGGTATGGACTGTGTGGACAGCAGCTCCCTGGTGTGCGGGGACAAGAACTGGAGAGGTCCTAACGAGAATGGATTGCGTGCTACAACGTGTGTACAGGGGAAGCCCAGCTGTGAATGCCAATTGGGATCACTCAGCAATCTAGATGACAGCGCCTGGAGTCCGGACACGAAATTTGCACAATTCATACAAATCTGGAGAAGGGCCTTTTACGTACTCTGAATGAAGGCTGTTATTACAGCTGGCACTAGCCACGCCAGACTATGGATTAGCAACATGGCCTATTTCAGGGACAAGCAGAGATTTCACGCACCAACTGCAGCCCTCTAGCTCCATCCTGGAGAACGACAAAATCAGCACACCTGCCGTCCTGTGTCAGCTGTGGCCTCACCAACAGCCACGCCAAGTTCTTAGTATTGCAATACGGGTGGACTCATTTCATTGTTTTTTTTGCTATGAAACAAACAGACCAGGGACGCGAAACGAAACAAGGGCACCATCTGCCACCATGCTCCGTGGCAGATGCCTGATTGTCGTAGTACACGCCACACGAGTTCCGCTTTTGTATTCGGACACCACAAAATCTATTCACGCTCAATCTCGTACAGTTTTCTCTTCGGCCAGCTTCTCTTCCGACTGTTTTGACAGGCGCACGAGAAAAAAACAACTTTTGCACGATCTCAACAGTATTATGGAAACTGGAGAAGGAGACCAACGGTAACTGCATCATAGCAAGCCATTACAAACAAACCGACAATTTAGATTATAATTTATTTTGTTGACCATTCCCTTACCGTCATCTGCCATCACATTGTCGTTCACCTCATCTCGGCACACCATGGCTGCCGTTTCTTCGTCGTACATGCCGTCATCCCGCAGTAGGCACTCTTCCAGGAAGGCGATGTAGCGACTTGCCCTTTTCAGCGTACTCCTCTGCGACAGCTCCTCAAAGTCCAGGCACGGCAAGACCTTCCGCAGGAGGTGGAATTCTTTGGTGATGCGACGCCAGCGCACCCGCTCCTTCAAGTTCCGCTCATCTCGAGTCGGGTCGCGCAGGAGTCTTGCACTGCTTGGAACGGCTGGTAGACCGGTGACCTCCGTTGCACCAGCAGCCGTATTACTATCATAAGATGCCTGCTGAGAACCTGATGACCCTGGGCTGGATTGGAACGGTGACCTTGGATATCTCGCTACATCCGTCGACGATGCGGAATGGAGGGTAGTTTCGGCTACGGTCCGTACCGTCTCTGAAGCACCGATTCCGCTGCTTCGGTGATGTCGGCTGGCCGGAATGCGTGATGCACTGTCGACGACGCACACCGGCGTTGACTGCGCTGTTGTTGCTGGCCGCATGACCAGCACCGTGCATGACTTTGAGTCTGACTCTGCTGCTGTGCTGAAATCCGTACAGACTGCAGGAGCGTCGTGCGGGCAGCCAGCGGTCTCCGTACCTTCTCCGGCAAAGCTGAATGAAAATATCTTCCTCCCTCCGAGCTCGTAAGTCAGTCCTAATCTTGATCCACACTATTCTTCTCATTCGAGGCAAACAGAATCTAAGACTACCATTGCCAGGAGAGCAACGAAACCTCTACAAAATACGAAGACCATGATGCCTGAAATGAGTCTATGTCGGCTGGCTTCAGCTACACTACAGCCTACAGACAGGCCCTACTCTTGAAAGTGCACAATCATGTCTGTTGTTTGTCTTGTACTAAGTACAGTGTAGATCTACATGACTTGTATACACTACGCAGACTGCAGTAGGTAGGTGCACTGTCTTGTACATGTACATGTACATGTACTTGTAGTGCATGTCTTATGCATGACGTGACTACATGATTGTATACAGTCTTGATGGAGCACAGATATCCGCACTCACTCACCACTTCAACACTAGCACTGCTCACTGCACTCAGTGCACTGGGCATGGGCCTCAGTCGAACTGTACCAGCTGGAACCATGAATCATTGAATGGCATGATAACTGCGATAAAAAAAGTACACAACGACATGTGCATGGCAAGTGCTGCGGCAGCCCAGCGTAGATCTACTACACTGTGTCATGTACTACCGTACTAGTATCAGGACACTACACAGGCTAGGCCGGCATGGGGGTGACTACATGACTACATCACAACAAAGGGGATTTTATTTACGCAGAACTGACATCCAAGAGCAAGCAAGGAATACACACATCCACAGTACAAAAACACAACAAGAACGCTCAACAACTCCCTACTGCCTAGCACAGGCTCTCCCTCTTTAGTAGATAACTCTAGGCCATCAACAAGTTATCTTGTAACCAGACTAATCTTGTATTTAAACAGGACTTGCAGCTGAAGCCAAGGTGAAATACATGTACAAAATCATGTAGTCATTGTACATGTAGGCAGTCAGTAAAATAATGTTATCGCATGGTTGCGAGGGCCTGATGGCATTATTATTGCCCTGCCTAACCTCTCAGGGCAATACTACATGTATGCCATAAGGCCCGCAGCAACCATACGGTAACAAATTTAGCATTGTGGCCCACAGAGCAGACCATAGGCATAGGCCTGCTGTTGGAACTAGCCCAAAGGCCAACACATTATGACCACAATGTACATGTACATGTACATGTACATTGCTGGCAACTGAAATCCGACCCCCTGAGCTCTGCGCTCACATCGCAAAGACCGTGAACCCACCGCTCAGGGATCGGATTTCAGTTGCCAGCACTGTATATGTTATCATTATCAAAACAGGAAACATTCTAACATGGAAATTGTGGGCACAAGTTATGCGATCAAGTCCACCAACTAAACCAGATTTTGACCAGTCAGACGTGCACAATCTAGCACAAAACTGACAAGGACTACTGAGACATTCCATGGCATGAAAGTGAGCTTGAGCGCTGCTCGATGGCGCTAACTAACGGCCTTCCAACTTGGAAGGTTCATGGATAGTAGTGCTAATTCCAAAGAGGGGAAGGCGAGCGCCATCGAGCCAAGCACAAGCAACATTCCAAGGCTTCATGAGATTCTGGCCTGGTATGATGGCGGGACGGCAAGACCGGACAGAATGGTCAAACCACAATTCGACAACGCAAAGCAACAACCACCCAACTTGGGAGGCTCAATAAGAGTCAATATTATCAGAGATTGAAATATGAAGGGGAAGCTTCGCGAGGACGAATTGACACACAATTTCCATGTTACATTTTTTCCTTGGCTCACCATCTGAGTTCTTAAAACAGGAAAATTGAAGATATTTCTCCTACACCCTAACAAAAATTATGCTACAGCCCATCAGAGAGTAAATGTATTTTTTTAAATATTTATTACAACATCTCAAGACTCGGTGGAAACACCGGCCAATGTTAAGAGAGTGGGTGATTGCTAACCACGGCGATAAATAAAAGTAAGGGGAGGGAAAAAGAAAGAGTAGCAAAATGAACAGCAACAACAACTCCGTAAAGAAAGATAATGTCAAATAAAAACAGTGAAAAACACAGAGACGCAAAGGACATGTGGATAATGAGCTACTTATGTCGTAGTAAATAAGGGGCGGCACGGATCTTAAACAGGCGGAGTGAGGTCAGATCCTTAACTTCTCTGGGTGGAGTGAGCCAAACAGAAAGAGCAATAAAGAGAGGGGAGCGCAAAAGAGTGGATGAGTTACACTTAGGGAGTAAGAGCGATCTTCTAGTTCTTAGAGACGGGAACCAATTAAAACACATGAGATGAAGTGGGCACAACTCAAGCTTAATAGGATGGACAAGAGAAGCCAGGTGTGCACTGCGTCCATGTGATAACGGGGTTGTGTGAGCGATTTTATAAAGGGCGGATGATGAGAGCATGCGGGGTTGACGGAGGAGAATTTTAAGGATTTTCTTGTGGTGTATTCCAAGCTTTGCAGCATCGGAAGAGGATAATCCAACCCAAGACGTATCGGCATAATCAAATATTGGGCGAAGGTAGGCTAAATAAAAATGAAGCTTGCAAGAAAGTGGGAGGTAGGAGCAGTGGGGGGAGAGAATTCCTAAGGATTTACTTGATTTTTTACAGATATATTCGATGTGGGGTACCCAAGAGAGTGCAGAGTCAATCACAGTGCGAAGGTGTTTGTGAGAAGACACTATGTCAATTGGATTTGGAAAGTTGGCATGGATGAGGGTTGTGAACTCTGGCTGGGGCGGGAAGAGCATGATCTTTGTTTTTGATAGATTTGGGGAAAATCTCCAGGACGACATCCAGGAAAGAACTTCCTGAATGCCAGCACGCAAGTTGTTTTTCAGGACAGTGAGGGAAGCTGATGAGGTGAGAAGGGTCATGTCGTCAGCAAACAGAGACGTTCCAGGGAAGACTGCAGGTAAGTCGTTTACGTAAACAGTACTGAAAAACGGAGACAAAAAGGGCTGGCACGGCATCGTCATAGCAATAGACATGGCAACCACAATAAAACATAGCAGAATCATCATTTCAGTTGAAAAATTAACAATGCTACAACAAAGAGTTTCTTCATGTTTACATGTGTACGAGGAAGTCGTCAAATACAGTACTGCAAAGATTTGACGACTCCCTAGCCCTGGTGTGTAATTCTGAGCACAATTTTTCTTCTTCTTTTTCAGCTCCAGATATAATGTATATGTACAATGTAGCTGTATTATTCATTGCAAAACATTCCTGAAATTGTTGTGTTTGTTGTTCAAGCAAAGGTGTAGGCAGAGGACAGATGAGCCTGGAGCCTGCGTTTTGCGTGGCACAGGAAGACCACACACAGGCATTGTATCTGAATACAATACCGTACGCACGATGTTGAGTTGAATTTGTGCATTTTAAAATACATGTTTGTGATCACAGACTACAGTACATGTACCACAATCGAGCAGAACTGAATCCTATACACAAGCCGCTCTTTCGTCTAGGGGAGTTTTTATAGACTTCTTCTCACAACATCCAGGAGCGATCACAAAGCACACGACTGACGTTACTGGAGACATCCAAGAGCGATCACAGAATACAAGATTGACGTTTGCAGAAGTCTATAAAAACTCCCCTAGAATAGAGAGGGTCAGAACCGGGTGTAACACCCATATGGTTCAGATGGTCGCAACCGACCGGGGCTCTCCCAACCGTGGATGGTTGTAGAAAGGTCACTGTTTCCGAACACGGTTTCCTCCACCTTGTTTGATGCTGTCAAACCAATGCAGGGTCCTGGCAGAACCAGGCCAGCAGCACTGGGATGCAGGCCATGGCAGGAGTACAAGGACTAGACTGTCGGCTTCGGGGAATCCCCACGATTTCTACCGGCAAGACACAGACACAAGGGCAACGTAGTCATGCTTGCACGCAGATGTCTTGACAGAGACAGGCCCACCTGGCACCTGCCATGCCACCGCCGGCACCCTCAGTTGATGATTATAAAATTGATAATAATAATGATAATAATAGAGAGGTTCTGCATAAAGAATTATTATTTCGCCTCTGCTGATGACGAAACATGTGACGAAATTTGAGGCGCGAAAATTCAAACGCCGAAACTTTGAGTGGGCAATTTTCGCTGCTTTTTCAATGCTGCTTTTGATGAATTTCTACTAATTTGAGTCGTGAAGCGATGTCCGTGGCGTGGGTGGACTTCGAAGTAGGACATGGTGAATATAGGAGATGATTACGAGGAGTTGTTGTGTTGTTTCCTACTACTGGAATATGATGACGGAGACCTCGAGCAGGATGAATTGTGGTTTCTGGTAACTCTCTCTCCCTCTCTCTATCTCTATTTCTCTCTCTCTCTCTCTCTCTCTCTCTCTCTCTCTCTCTCTCTCTCTCTCTCTCTCTCTCTCTCTCTCTCTCTCTCTCTCTCTCTCCGCCATTCCTCTCGCCCCCCTCTCCCATGGTGCTTGCTGTGTACGCCGATCCCGAGACCCTTGGTCGGGAGAGTCCACTGCATCTCACCAGCGCAGCTCGTGTGCCGCCTACACACCCATTGTTGTTTTCTTGTTTTGTCTTCGTTTTGTCCCCCCCCCCCTTCTTCCGTACGTATGCGCAATGTGATTAAAAAAAATGGAATTCAGTATGCAGCAGACTGAGCTGCTCGAGGTATGCTTATCAGTCATGAAATTGTGCCCATGCGTCTGGATATCGCAAGTCTGGATGATGAGACGTGCATCAGGCGCTTCCGCTTAACTGGGCAGCAGCTGAAAGACGTATACTTTGCGTTGCAGGTGCCGCATAACTATAGATCTCCAGTTTGCCGGACCAAGTGGAGTGGTATGGAGGGTTTGCTGATTCTTCTCAGACGGCTGTGCTATCCCAGCCGGTTGTCTGACCTCTGTGAAGAATTTGGGCGTTCAAAGCCTGTGCTACCGCTAATTTTCAATACAATACTGATGTGGATGTGGCGTTGATGGGGCCACCTTCTCAATGATCCATTCACACAAGGATTCTTCAGCGCAGAGAGAGTTGCCACGTACTCCACAAAAATCATGGAGAATGTCGGCCCCGATCTCCATGTGTGAGGTTTTATTGATGGGACCGTGAGGCCAATATGCCGTCCTGTCAGAGACCAGCAACAATTTTACAACGGGCACAAACGAGTGCATGCCCTGAAGTAC